CCCACTGCGAAGAGCTGTCAACGTGTGCTCAATCGGCCCCGGAATCGGCTCGCAATTACCGAGATATCCACGCTGGATAAGGTCCCATCGAGAGCTCCCCGCGTACGTATGCACTAACGTTTCCAAGTTCCTTTCCAATCTCCTGTCAGTGTTAATAATATCGTCTGGTGTAAAACTAGAGACTATTGCAATAAGACACTCGTCTGCAGATTGCCTAAAAGCCTGGCATTCTTCATCATTCTCCATGTCAGGAAGGATCGGTAAAGAATACTGTTGCGCCAAGGCTTTCAACTCTGCAACAAAGTGGGATGTAAACATCACGAATAGTGGACAGTGCAAGTGATCTTCGCTGTTCCTATACGCCGTCGATACGTTAGGTCGAGGAGTATTTTTCATTTTCTGCTGGTGGGTAAGCGCCAGCATACGTTGTCGAAGATGGAAGCGATGACTTACAGGCAGCCACTTGAGACGGATGAAGAATCTCTCCATAGCAACGGACTGTTGATGTTTCAAGTAGTTGAATTGGAGCAGCAAGTTCACATCCTGGACGTGTACAAAGTCAATAGCGTTAGCAGAAAATCTGTCCTGTCCATGCTCGAGTCGATGATAGCTCTCTAGCGCAAGGGCACGCAGCCTCAAGAGACTTGGAGAGAGTATCGACTCCGATCTTTTCACTGCGCAATGAGCAGTAGTTGCCACTTGCACGTTCAGTAGTGACAGCTTCGAAACGAGAGTCTGTAGCCATGTTGGATGCTTTGTCGACTGTGATACGCTCTCAAAAGCATCGACCTTGTTGTCCTGACGTTGATATCCATACTGTTCGCCTACCTCTTTCCATTGTTGGTCTCGTCGATTGGGTAACTCGCGTAGTAGTACTAGACCGTCTTGAGTTTTCAATAGTAAATCTTCCAGGTCTTTTCCACTTGAACTACATGTAGTCGATTCCTGCTTAATCTTCATCGCGTATTGGAGAAACGATTTCCATTCCAACGAGAAATTCTGTCAGGGGTACAAAAATGTGCAAGTTCAACGACTCTATAAAGTAATTTTATGTTTGTAATATGCTCGATACCTGAGCTGTGCGCTGCAGTCGCTCATTTGCCTCCACCAGTTCGGCCTGTCTTCGAGATATGGCAGTCGGTTCTAGAGTAGCATCGTCCAGATTGTCGGACTGATCTTTGCGAATATGCTGTCGCTGCTTTTCTCGTATTTCCATCCTACACAAGCACCGAATTTGCAGGTGTGTGTCGACATGGACACAGGATAATGAAGAAGAAACGGTTTTGCTGCAAGAATAGCAGTGCCAGTTATAAAGAATAAATAAAGAGATCATGTAGTAGACTATTAAATGCGCCACGTGAGCACGATTGCTGAAGCAGAGTCGCTCTTTTTGACATCGTCAGAAGCCTCTGGTGGGATTCTCGATATCCAGGAGGCGCAGCAGATGCTCGATCGGCTAGAATTCTCGAAGCTCCACGCAATTGGACGCTATAATATGAATTGCTATACTTTATAAAAATAATGCAAATCTTCGATTTCACTCACAAAAAATAATACATGGTCAAAGCTTCCAAAGCTTAATGCTTGGGTATACAATTCGTACATGTAGGGAAATGCCCGCCAAAAGCATCCAGCATGTGGTCTTTTTTATCGTTGGATCGCCGCTCTTTAACGATGCAGCAGCGTTGCAAAAGTGCTGTAACGGGGCGATAGTACGGCAGGATCACATCTGCGGCATCACATTCACTTGCAAATTTGCAGCACCGTCGTCAGACCAAGCACCAGTCAGATCCCTGCGCCATGGCATCTCGCAGCACTCCTCCACTGAGCACTCTTCTCTATGTACGCGACAAGGCAGCAGAGCCCAAGAGAACGATGAAGGCCACCGTCGGTGGTACAATGAGCTCTCGCGATTCCTTCGAGGCGAAACTCGTGCGCACGATACATGAAGTCTTTGCCGCCAAGGAAGAGAGCCAACGACTGCCTACTGATCTCGTCACGAAGGAGAGCAAAAACGTGTTCTGGCGGCAATTTGTCATCTCAAAGGCAGCGATGATTGCGGGTCACCGCTAGAATTGAGCACGGGGGAAGGAAAAGGAAGTCAAATACATGTACGATATTCGGTAAATCCTATGGTTAGTATCGCAACACGCCCTAAGGTCAGCCTTTTGTTTGTTTGTTTGTCAGCGAGTGTCACTTTACTTTGTGGGGGAGGGGGACAACGAAGCGCGTATTTCGCCACAAAACTTCCAGTGGCAAAATTGGTACGAAACGTAAAGCACAAATGCAAGACGTCAATATTCGTATACGCATCAAAGCTCGCAGTCCAAAGCATTCAGCAAGTCTTACAATCGCTGCTGCTATGGTAATAAACGTTCGGATATCCGTAGCATGAATAGTAATTTATACGCAAGGTGGATTGAGTGCTGGCAGTGCTACCCACGCTAGGTTATACCCAGTTGCATTTCCTTAAATTTTCGTGTAGTACTGTGCGGCATCGAGCCGCTGGCGCGCTTGGTGTGGTTTGCACTGTAGCCAACGCGTATTCCTCCTACTGGTACTACTAGCACTTTCCTGTGAGTGCTATCCGAATATACAAATTCAACGCTACTAAGTTTATAAATCATTGAAAATTGTAGATCACCGCGGTAATCGCCGAAAATTCAACCTCTAGGGCCGACCTAGCTGCACGAATGCGTGCGAACTGATGAGATGGGCCGTTGTTGCGCGCTTCCGCACGCTCACCGTGGCCTTACTGTCCTCCGATGCCGACCCGGCATTGGTTTTTTTGCCGGGAAGCAGCATCCTCATCTTTTGCGAAAACTTCGAGTTGTGACGCTGCTGATTCGTGGTGGTGGTGGCTGCGGCAGTCTGGTTGATCGCCTTGTCAGTCCTGTTGTCAACGTTCGCTTGGGTCTTGTCATGTAGGAGCTTGAGACTGCCGTGGGTGTTCAAAGGGAGTGCGAAGCGAGTGTGTGCATTCATCGCGGTATTATAGCTGGAGTCTTGGGGTGCTGTTGATCTGCGATGCAAGTTGCAAAGTGAGAAGCTCCGTGCCGCTTCCAGCTGAGCAGTACCATCATTCCTGAAAAATGCATTGCTATCTTCATTCACTATCGAATGAAGAGAACTGAAGTTGCCTTGAGGGGCCCATGATCGCCATTTTCTGAGCACCCAGTCAATAGTCAGCTAGAAATTGTAGTCTTCAGTTTTCGAAGTGCAAAGATGGGGTAATCGTCAAAGTGACGCATCAAGATCCTGTTATCCTGTATGAACTCTGTCATCGGACACCAAGCGTTAATTTGTATGATACAGTATATCTTATGCTGTTTTTCGATTATTGCGATTTGAGATAGGTCGTGTTCGCCGATTAAAAACTTGAAAGTGAATGAATGGTGGTAGTGTTTGTACTGTACA